TGTGTGTGTGTGTGTGTGTGTGTGTGTGTGTGTGTGTGTGTTAGCTAGCAGTATTTTCTTGGCTGCACAGTGAGACGCTCACTACAATTTCATCTGCTTGGTCGTGCCATTCGTCAGTTGACAAATCCTTTCAATATAGTCTACCTGGCCTCGCTCGCTCATCATTTTAAAGGAATTACACTGTCTGGGGAGAGAGGGAGAGAGTGGTGTGAGGGAAAGAGAGTAGAGTGGAATATTAGAGATGGAGGTGTGAGGAAGGAACATGGAAAGACAAGGAAAGTAGAACAGGAAAGATAAGACAGGTATCTTTTCAATATTGTCTGCCCAGTGCAAGCTATTCACTGTCTAAAGATGGAGAGAGGAAAGGAGGGATCTAAAGAGAGCACAGGAGTGCGGATGGAAGAGGAAAAGATGTGAAGGGAGGGCGGAAATAAGAAAGAGATGAGGACCATTTACAAAGGATCTAATGTAGCTATCCCAGCTGCTATTTTGGTTGAGTGGCTACAAAATAGCAATCTGGCCTGGAAGCTCAAGAAAAGTGGTTGGGTTAAAGCATGTAGGTCAATGAGTCTACTGCTGTAGAGGAAATGGAAAGAGGATGAAGGATTTATTAAGGTTAGGCTATGAGACCTAGGAGGCCAGGAATGCGTGGGGCTTAACAGGAAGTTATAGCATAACAGAGCCAGTCCTCAATGGGTTCACATAATAGGTTCCCATATACACTCAGTAGTCCCTTTATTAGGTACACCTGTACAATCTAACGCAGTTCAATACAACAGTTGAAAATGGAAAAGTGTGAATTGTCTTTCACAATTTGCTTGAGGGGGTCAGGGCATTAGAAACACCTCTACATTATTGCAGTTTAGCACAATATCATCACTAACGATTGTATAACTTCAAAGCAAAAACATTTAATTGAATTGACACTTATAACAGTGTCAACAAAACCTGAACATCATAGACCTAATAAAAATAGACTTGGGGAAATGGGAAAATAGTTGTATTGCGTTGCATTACACTGTACAGGTGCACCTAATAAAGTGGACACTGAGGGTAGTTCACATTATATACACTTTTAGTATAGAGCTGATATACCATACCATACCATACCAGCATATGGGAGTATATGTCATGATTTGTTCCTAAAATAAAATTTTAAATAAGTACCATGTATCTCTAATTTTAGTCATGAAAGTATATAATAACAGCTTTCAGTTTTGCGGTTTCTCTCTGGATCCAGCTTCTGCTAAATCTTCATATATATATATATATATATATATATATATATATATATATATATATGTTGTTCATGCAATTTAAAAAGCTTATAATATATAGTGTTGCAAAAGTGAATCCCCATACCAGCCATTTTGGAGTTTAATTGCAGTGTGATATAATACGATTTAGTGAATGTCATGGCTTGCACTTAGCTTTTGGCCTTCATTTACCACTTGCCTACACAGCTTTGTAGCAGGCAAAACATTAAAATAAACAATAACATATAGTATATTAAAGGGAGAACGACTCTAAAAGTTTAACATGGTGTGGTTTTATAATATCCAGTCACTTGATTGGTGGTGAAGTTGGTAGCTTTTCTTGTTGTGACATTGGATAGTCAGCATGGATACAATCTGTCATGAGATTTGGTGAACAAAAGTATGTTTGCAGCTTGTCTCTAAGATAACAAATCCCCTTTCATTAAAGGACCAATGAAATGGCATCTAGCGCAATTGCAGATTAGAACCCTCTAGCCTCACCCTCTTGTTCCAAGTGTATTGGAGACACTATGGTGGCCAAGGCCATATCAAGAGCCAGTGTTTGGTCTAGGCTACTGTAGAAACATGACAGTTCAAAATGTGGCCTCCATAGAGGAGAACCCTTAAACTATGAAACCTTAACTTTCTAGGTAAACTAGTACTTTCCGAAATGTAGCAAGCAACATGATCGGCCTCCCACCAGCTCTTCAGCCTTTCTGCGCTTAACTGGTATAATTTGTTTTCTGCACGCTGAGTAATAAATCTTCTATGACCTGCTCACCTTTTCATATGAATAAGATGCCTATGGCTATTGCTCACTATAGTTAGGGAATTAATTTCTGTCTTTATCTAAAATGCTGTTTCAACACTTCACTGTGTCAAAACCTTAATGCTGCCCTCATGGCTCTGCTCAGCTCATACAAAGCCAAGAACAAGAAACGGAGACAGCACAGAAGCGACAGGCAGGTAGGAATGTTTCAAACTAGCTGACTCAATTCTTTCTTATGAAGACTATAACATGGTAAAGGACAGACAGGGATGTGAAAGAGAAAGGGAAAAGACAGGGCATGGAGAAGAAAGGAAAGCCGTAGTAGGGGGAAAAAGGTAGAGAGAAATTGATGAACAGAGAGAAGGAGGATGGAGGAAGCGTTAAAGGGAGGAGGGGTCATTATGAATACAGTAAGGAATGCATGGAGGAAAGAGATAAAAAATAAAATAAAAAAGAGGACAAAAAGTGAAATCAAGTGAAACCAAGAGCTGAGCGAAGGCTGTCCACCCATGTAAAGTAACATAATTCACCTGATCATACTATCAGATATGTTCTAATATTTCTTACTCTGCAGTTGCACAAGTCCTTAGGTGATTGTACACTGTGATTCCATTGGTTATCAGTAGAGTGTACACTAAGGTGGAAGTTGTTACACTGATAACTATAGATCGTGGCATCAGTGATGTCAGGAGTCAGCAGGGGATTCTCAGATATATCATGGAGTGTACGATCGAAAAGTGAATCCTCTTATTGTTTGTGCAATGCCATGCATCTTTTAAACTAATTAGGACTGATGGAGTCATAATTTTTATCTCAAACAATACCATCATCTCTGCCTGTCGATACATCTCCTGGCAGAATAAAAGTGGTTCAGATGCCGGTAGGTAGCAGAGAGAGGGTGGTGGGGAGATATGGAAAACAGGGAAAGAGAAAGAAGGGTGACGACTGGGAGCTACAGATGAGAGCAACATAGGATGAGGGTTAAAGCTGATTGTTTTCAAACAGACTGAAAATGACCAACAGACCCTGAAAAATAGAGTGCCTTTTACCCAGAACAGGAGAGAGGGGCAATATGGAATAGGAGATGGGAATGGGCAGCAGTGATGCTTCTTTCCTTTTCATTTCCTTTTGACTTTATGAAAGTGTGTTTGTGCATTTGTATGTATTCTCTAGGAGTGCAATACCAATCCTTTTCGGTCTCTGCATGAGCTGAATTGATTTTTCCTACAAGAAGAATACTGCTTTGTATACCTTAGGTCTGTGACCCCATGCGTCAATCACTGTGGAAGGTTCTGTGTACATGTGTGTGCAAATGCACACATGGCACGTATCAGCCAACAAAACAGCCATAGTCACGTGTTTTAAAAATGTCCTTCATGCTATTCCTTAATCTCCCTCCCTGTCTAACTATTCATATACCTTTCTCTCTAACCTCCCACATTTCTCAGCTTTTGTCATATTTTTATTTTTATTTCACACTTGGATGAACAAACTTAAATGATGACCAAAATAAACAATATCTGCGAATGTTGCGTGTGTCTGTGTTTGCACGCATATTGGTAATAAGTAGCAATTATATAAAACAGAGGAGGTGAGGTGGATCAATAGATAAATAAAAGAACGCTGATATTAACACACAATGACTGCTCCCAGCTGTCCAGTAACAAACTCACTGTGCCAGCGCTGACCTGTTAGCAGGTGGTGTAGACTAGTGCATCTTACTTGGGGCAAACAGCCTTACAAATGTTCCTACCATAAATTTAGAATTGCCTCAATCACCACACTGTAAAACTGATTTATTTCATCTAGTGCTGTCAGTTTAACGCGTTATTAACGCAAACCCATTTTAACGGCGTCAACTTTTAACGCCTAGCACACATTGACGTTTTTTTTCGCATGCTGTTGCAACAACTAGTAACGTTAGAAAAACTACAACACCACATCGGATCTAGAAGACCGGAAACAAAACAACAGGCACGCCGCACTCACTTGTTTAAGAGTAGTAGACGTTACGTTTTGAGTGGATGGCGAGCGTGAGACACCGAAATGGATGGATTCCTTGTTGTCTGAAAATGTCAACAGGCTTGTCTGTTTGAGTAACTGGCTCAAAGCAAAGAAGTAGTAGGCTTACCTTTTATTGGTAACCGTTACTGTTCATTCTTTCTGAAATAAGAGGCTGGGTTGAGCCTCTGGTGAATAAAGAGCAGTAGCCTGACTGCTATGTTCAAAGCAAACTTGAGAAAAGTATTAAGCTATGGTTTAACTGCACTATAGGCTGAGTCCTAGTTTACCTTACATGTGCACTTTGTAATTTTATTTTGTATCGCCCTGTTTTGATCCCTTAGAAAGGCCTGTTGAAGGGGCTGTTTGTGTGACAAAGTATTTTTTTTACCCTTTTATTGATGGACAGTGTTACATTGTGTGAGAGATTATTTGCTCCAAGTGTGAATGTTGAGAATGTTGAAATTGAACACTACAGTATATGCCAATGTTGTTTTCAAAAAAAAAAAAAAACATTTGCACAAAGCAAGCCGATCCACTTTTCCATGTTGATAAGAGAATTAAAATGAGAAAAAATAATGGGACAAAAAGAAATCAAGGGACATTTAGAATAGATAAAAATGTGCGATTAATTGCGAGTTAACTATGACATTAATGCGATTAATCGCAATTAAATATTTTAATTGTTTGACAGCACTAATTTCATCCCTTAAAATATTGGGTTTTGCTCAAAACACATATTGCAATTGTGAAGAAAAAAAGAATGATAGAAAGCAAGAAAAGACATAAGGACGGCAACCAAGGAACAAGGGGGAAAAAAAACAGGAAAGAAGAAAAAAGAGGGGAAGATAAAAAGGATGCCAATAAAGAGATAGAAGGCTGGAAGTGAAAGGATTAAAATAACAAATGAGAGAAAAAAGATAAATGAGAGATAGATGCATGGTTGTATAGAAATGGGGAAAAAATATTCATACCACTTGTCCATTCTGGGGGTTTTTGTGGGCATAGGGAGGACCTCTGATGTGATTCCACATCTGACCAGATGTCATCGCAAAAACTACACACTATCAGAGAGAGAGAGAGAGAGAGAGAGAGAGAGAGAGAGAGAGAGAGAGAGAGAGAGAGAGAGACAGGCAGGATAAAATTTGGTTAAAACATCATTAGTGTGGAAATATTTGTATTATTATCATTATTTCTAACTGGGACAGTGTGAAATGTATCAGTCTCAACATATGATACATTTTTTTATTGTTGTTAAAACAAGCAAAAATTTTACTAATGAGGTGAGATTACTTTGCTTAACTTGTTTCTAGTGCAGTTTTACCTGATTTATATCCCTGGCTTGTAGGGATGTTAAAATACCAAAATTTTCGTAGTCGATACCAATGCCAGTGAAATTCAATGATTCTTGATACCAATTTGATACCACGGTAAAAATGTCCCAATCAAGTTTTTTTGTAGTAGTTAATTAGTTAATGTGTTGGCCTCAAAAATACAGGTTAATAGCTCTGTGTTGCATTAAGAAAAAGAATTCCCTGCAACCAAGCTGTATCTTAATGTTTTTAAAGTGAATATATTAATATTTATATATATATATATAATACTAAATAACTAATAAACAAACTGTAATCGTTTTTGATCTTGTCTTGTAGCTGTCTAAAGAGAATGTGTAATATCATAATAGTCCTATTTGCATCTGACCAGCAGCTCAGCCCCGTCCATGGCAGTGTTTCACTGCAGGTGCACACGCAGTACAGCCACAGAGAAACGGAGTGAGAGCTGACGAAGGAGCATTGTGCATGAAAGTTTTGCGAGTAAATCACCTGTACAGATGCACTTGTCGCCATTTTCGACATGCTCTCCTTCCTGTGGCATTTAACGGCCGACTAAACTATTTATAGGCGTTTATGCTACCGTTTATGCGGGTCTGGAAAAATTGCATCCTTCAGTACTGTAGTGAAATGAGCTGAAGTTAGAGTTGAAGTTTACAAAATTGTGGTATCAATAGGTACCAAAAATCAGTTCTTGTGACATCCCTACTGCCTTGTGAGGGTAGATATTTTTGGCAAAGCATGTATTTAACTTCTCACAGTAGGTATGTTCCCACCTAAAACTGTGTTAGTGATTGTGTGTGTGTCATACCAGTGCAGCCATGGCCCATCCAGTCTTGTTGTATATGAATTCCAAGTTGTTCCTTCTCAGATACAGCAGACCTCCAACCAGAGACACTAACAGAGCCAAAGCAATAGTCCCTGAATAATTAGGAGGACGGAAGACGCGGATCTAGAGGGACAAAGAGAGAGAGAGAGAGAGAGAAAGATATATATATATATATATATATGGTGTAACATATCCCCAATAGAATAATGGCCAGGGTTTCCTATTGTGTATTACTGCATTGTGCAAGTTCTATTACCTTAGAATGAACAATCTTGGTACAATCTGAATGTATAATCTATTGAATGAAGAGCAACATCTTAAAAGAAATTGCAAATGCAATAACTGGATAAAAGAGATGAGAAGAAACTCAAGAGAACAGAGCAAGCCAGAAAGAAAGTATATATTTTAAAAATGTACAAGATATATTTATATGTATGTTATTTGTATTTTAATATTCTTTTCAGTGTTTTGTTTAGAATTTTTCAATTAATCATTCTAACCAGCACCTGCAAAATAATTTCCAACTTAAGTAATATTGGTTTCAATTTCAACATACTAGTAGTAGTAATAGTAAAGTAGGATGAACAAATCCAAGAATATGCAACCAAATATAATTTCAAATTTGCACTACATCGCTTTGAGTATTCAGCGTGGAGCCATGGCTTCCTGAGTAAGTGCTTAGCTTGTTGCTCTGATAACTTAAAATGCAGTTAAAAGATATGCTTAAAAACAAGTGTATTGTAAAAAGTGGCTTAAAACCAGATAAAACTCTGTTTAAGGGAGAGCCTCTTTTTGGCAAAACAGCCTCCTAAAACTTAGGAATGCATTATTCAGAGAGGAAGAGCGAAAAAAAAAAGAGATTTAGCGAAAAGCTCTGCTTTTTCCGCTCCTCAACATCTGCCATCATCCCCCATTTATCTTTATTGTCATTCTTGACCACTACAGGTACACATATCAAAAACACTGACTTCTCTAACCAACTTTCATTCAAATTTCTCCATCACACAAGCTTATTCTTCTCACTACTTTTTTTTATCATATATATTTCCTTGCATTTTTTTCCTTTTCTGTTCTGTTCTTTATTCATGCAGTAAAGTCACATTGAAGTGTCTGAAAGCTACCACTTAGTGTAAGTGCTCCCCTACGCCTTCTCTGAAAGGCAGCCTTTTGAATCCAGGTCCATCAACAGGATGTCAGCAGGATGCTTGGACTATGTCTGCCAGTACTTTGCTGACAGGTTGTTCAAGAAAGAAGAATTTGTAGTTTGACGGTTGAAGGTTTGATCTCTCAGGTGTCAACAACTTAAGTGCATCTCACTAACCTGCATGTGTAAGGCCCTGGTCCTTGAAGATTATGAAGCAATGACATGGTCGACACAACATTTGCGCTTGCTAAAGACTGAGGGTGCTGTCACACCTAACCTGCTGCTAAACTGCATTGCACTCCTATAACATTGTTGGATGAAGGACAAAAAGATATCAAAATTGATGAAGCAAAACCCCAGATATTGTCTTTTTTATTCCATGCATTTTTCTTCCTTGCTGAAATGTGGCACCTACATTAGTTTACATCAGTTTGGTCAGAAATTGTAGCTTCAACCACCAGCCTCGAGCAGAGATGACGAGCAGGCTTACACAGGTCTGGTAAGCTTGCTTCTTCTCCACACAGCCAGATTTTTTTCAGGGTTTTAACTTGTAGACTTCAGAACCAAATGACGTAGCTCCAGAAGGAGCTGATTACATGCAAGTCCTTCGGGAGCTACAAAAAGTTTTTTTAAAAATGCAATACTCAGAATCAGAATTAGGTTTATTGCCAAGTAAGTTTTTACACATACGAGGAATTTGTCTTGGTGCAACTGGTGGAGTTCCCCTTTAAGGCTGGTGTGAAAATTGATCTGATTAGGTAGTGTATATATATTTATGCAAGATCAACACATCATGATGCACTATTGAGGAACAAAACTTCACTCTTATTTGTCTGTCTGGATTTTTCTATGCTAGTTGAATTTTCCTTTTAGGTTAAACTGTAGACCAATTTCAGGAATATTTAGATCATCATTGTATATTGAGATCAACAGCTCAAACTATATACGTGAACTAAATTTGGGTTATATGTACCAACTGTACATTTTTTGCAAATGCGAATGTGTGAATGTCTGTGCATGTAGTACCTGAACATCTGTGCGGTCTGCAATCCACTTGGCCAGCTGCTCTGAAGCAAAGCCAATCCTCTGCAGGTCAAACGTATCAGCCCTCTTTGGCTTTCCCTTAGCCGGGAAATGCATGAAGGTCGGAGCACTGTTCATGTTTAACTAGAGAGAAAGAGGAAAATGGGGGTGAGGAGGAGAAATTAATGTCATCTGACTTGTCAAACATACTAAGTAACATGTCACCGAAAGGTATACATTCATTATCAATCATAATATCTTAATCATCAGACTGGGGGCTGGGGCTAGTATCACAGGTTTATCTCAGTCTGTATCTGTGATCAGTCATTGGCTAAAAACTCGATTGCTTGCTGTCCTAAATTGCCTATTCTCTTTTAAATTAAGTGTTTTTCTTGTTTATGTTTTGCCTCCCAATATGAGTTATCTCACCTGTCTTCTAAATGGCTAAATGGCTAAAAATGTACTCCAATTAACAATGTCTGATATTCACTGGGCTCTATTTATCTATGTATGTAGGGGCTGGTGTGTCAAATTTTTATTTTATTTTATTTTATCTTTTGTTTCAGCAGCCAGCAAATACTCCAATAAATAAAAGTATATAATTGTTGTGACATAAATGTTGACACAGTATGTATTCCAACAGTAAGTAAATAAATAAGTAAGAAAGAAAGTAAAGCTTGAGTTATATAGCACGTTCTGATACACACTACTACAAAGTGCTTCACAAACAAACAAATTAAAATAAACACTCACATAAACACGATACACATACAGATGTATACATCTAGAAGAAAGTTAAGTTAAAAAAGACAGGCAACAAAAATAAGTAAACAAGCAGAAGAGAGATCTTTAAAAATGCTTGCCTATAGAGGTGGGTTTTTTTTTTTTTTTTTTAGGAGCTGCTTAAAACAGTCCAAAGATTCAGCAAATCTTAGTGATTGAGGAGGATGATTCCACATTGTTGAGGCTAAAACAGCAAAGGCACGGTCACCTTTAGTTTTGCACGTAGACCGATGGATAAAAGGCCAAGATCTAAGGAGCGCAGTGGACAAGGTCATGGAGGGCCTTATATCTAATCAGCAGGATTTTGTAGTTGATTCTCAATTTTACATGTAGCCAGCGGTGGGATGCAAGAACAGGGGTGATGTGGGAACGGCAGCTGGATCTGATTAAAAGTCTGGTGGCTGCATTTTGGACTAACTGTAAACGATTTGAGGAAGCTTGACAGTGGCACATGTAGAGGGAATTACAGCAATCTAGAGTGGAAAAAATTAAGGTATGAATTAATAGTTTGAGATCTCTGGAAGACAAGACAATATTTGTTGTGAAGTTGCCAGGTCCAATTAAAAGGATTTCAGTTTTGTCAAGATTCAGGTTGAGAAAATTGAGAGACATCCTGTGGCAGCTAAGCAAACATTGAGGGAGGACAGTTGATTCAGGTTATTAGGTTTAGCAGAGAAGTAGATCTGTGTATCATCAGCATAACATGGGTATGACACGTCTTGGAAGCGGCTGAACAAATGACCCAGAGGAAGCATGTACATTGAGAACAGAATTGGACCAAAAACCGACCCCTCAGGGACACTACACAAGATGATCAATGGTATCAAAGGCAGTAGTCAGATCAAGAAGAATAAGAATGGAGTTTTTACATTTGTTTTCATGTCATTACATATTCTTAGTAATGCTGTCTCAGTGCGATGCTTTTGGCTAAAACCATGTTAAATTTGTGACCTTCCACCAGCTTCAGGAGCTGGTCCAAAACTATTTTTTCAAGGATTTTTGATAAAAAGGGTAATTTTGAGATGGGCTTGATTTAATTTTTCACAGTGAGTAGACGAAGAGGCATGAATAGCAGGCAGTGTTCTTACTGACAGAACAAAGATACAAACGGTCACTATGCTTCTGTGTCAGTGGTATTTTGCAAGTGCACCATGCCTCTTAAGTGCTGCTGCAAAAAACTATAAGACACCATAAATATTAGAAGGGACCAGTGTGATACAGGGGAGTTATTCAGTTGTCAGAAACACAATATCCAAATCTGATTGGCTTTACAGTTGCACTATGCAACTGTACATTGTAGGAAAATATAAGTATTTGGTCTTGACTCTATGTTGGGCAGATACTCTTGGGCAGTCACAAAAAGATAACCCTCAGGATCATTAGATATAATAAACTGCATCAGTGTGCTGATCTCATTACAAGGCAGTAAGTGGGTGTGTATTGGCTATCACAGCTAATAATTGGATAGAGAGAATAATAATACAGTAATTCTACAAGTGTGTTACTCTTTTTTGTCTTTCCTCTTAAACACACGCCAAAAAAAAAAAAAAAACAATTCTAAACTAAATGTTCTATTCCTTCATCTCTCCTTGCCTCCACGTTTCACACCTATTTGACTCCAAATCCCTGGACTCCCTACAATTATCAACAACAATAAAGTCAACTGGTTTACTCTCTCCTGTTATTCCCAAGACACCTGAAGAAAAACAGAGATGAAGGGGAAAGGAAGGAAGTGTGCAGAGAACAAGGAGACAGAAAAAGACAGAAATGAGAGGAGAGTTATTATGCAGATGATTTTTCTCCATGAATGATGGATTAGATGCATGCATGCATGTAAGAATGTGTAAACATGTATTATAATTAGGTGGGTTTTATTTCAGTCCTTTTTATCATAGTGGATCACATCTAGAGTTCAGTATAATTAAAAAGAAAAATGAAAGGAAAAGAAAAACTGGAAAATAATTTTTAGTCTACATTTCTAGTTTATGGCACAGTTGGACCTTCAGATCAATTCACACTGCCTAGACTGAACCTACATCTCAAGGTCTCTTTTTTCTTTTTCTTTGTGAATATTTGTACTGAACTTTGCATTAGCTGCAACAATTAGTTGATTAATTGACTAGTCACACAAATCAAGTTTTAGAATTTGATTAATCGCTTAAGTCAGCTTTTTTCAGAAATTAGTGCCAAATATTCACCAGTTACAGCTCCTCAAATGTGACTTTAGATAGAAAGCTGGAGGAAATATAGAAATAGTATGGGTGACTGAAAACCTACCTACCTGTACTAAATAAGCAGGAAGTATCAAATATAACCAATTCCACATACATGTGGCTTTTCTTCCCATGCATGACTGATGCCTCTGCTTCAGAGCGGTCTGTATATTGTTTGCTTGTGTTTCTTAGCATTTCATTTGATTTGTCCTTCGAAATATGTCCATGTACAGTATGGATGTACATGTTTGTACCTGCCCTTTGTGTGTGCATCCTTGTTTTTTGCCTTACTCTGTAGGTTTTGAAGGAAGGAAGAAGCATTAATTTGTAAGTGATTGATATTACAGCAGAATCTTCGCTACAATTGCACCTTCATTTTACAGTGGTGCTTTTGCTTCTTGAGCCAGAGCAACAAAAATAGGGAATTTTACTACCTACAGTTTGCAGTTACTAATCTATCGGCGCAAATTACCTTGCTCCTATGATAAAAATAATCCTACACCAACACAACAGTAATTAGCAGTTGGTGTCCAATATGTTATGTGCAAGCAGGATGAGGAAGGGATGGAGGAGGAAAAACAAAGGATAAAAGGTGCAATGTGAAATAGGTTTTTGGTGAATACATTTGTTATTGATAACACACTAAATCACTAGTTACCTGTTGGAAAACATCAGCTCCCTCATCATAGTCCACTACCGTGAAGAAGAGCTTGTTGGAAAATGCAGATGAGTAACGCCACGAGTTTGCCAGGACCTGGTACTCCTCATTTGCCTGCCTATAAGAGGGCAATGAGACAGATAAAAGGAATCAGAAACAAAAATCAAGAAAACAGTCAAACCAAAATATTTCACATATAATACACGTATGCACAAAGGGACAGCTAAACACTTGTTTCATCTCAGATACACATACTCAAGGGTCCCAGTTATATCACTATAGTCAGATGTCACTCAAGTTCTAAAAACATAATGAAACATAATGTCAGGTTATGTTTCGCAAACCTAATGGCATTGCTATCAGAAAAGAACCAATACTGTGGCCACTACGAGTGAAAAATGTACTCAAGATGTTTGTTTGCATGTTATATTACGTCAATTAAAAAATAAATAATAAAGTTAATACTGTACATTTGATCTTGTATATATATATATATATATATATATTTATATTTTTTGTGCTGAATGTTGTATATATATATATATATATGTGTTGTTTGTATATCTGGAGTGTTGTAACGAAAATAATTTCCCCCCTGGGATTATTAAAGTATTTCTGATTCTGATTCTGATTCAATAATTTTGTTCTCCCTCAGAGTATATTCTTTACAAATACTTGAGTTTTTTTATTATTTTTTTATTTCCCTTTATTAACCTGCTATTTATCCTCCGGAAGATATTATTTTGATTCCGACAAGCTAAGGGACAGGCACTGAACAAATGATGACATTAATGCATTAATCATGAAGAAGACATAAAAGGACAAAAAAGGACAACATCACAAGAAAAACCACAACTAGTGACTTCAAAAACATAAGATACAGACAGAGATAGGGTACAAAGAGGAGAAGTAAGCAAAGGGACAAAGTGAAAAACTAAAAAAACACAGGCAGAAAAAGGAGAAAGAGAAAAGATGAAGGGATTAAGAAAAGTAAACTGTATACAAGATCAAGATTGTCTCTATTCCTCACACAGTGGCCTTCATAACGTGAAGATACTACAAACCTCATTTGTCATTTTATTTCAATTTCCTTCAAACTTAGCCTAATGAAGGTGTTATTTTAACCAACCAGGGTCAGTCCAATCTATCACCTTATTCTCCTACATGACAAAATAAACACTTAAATGCCAAGAAGCAGCCTCTCTTCTCTATTATCTCTCTCGCCCCCTTCTTTCTGACTTTAGATATACGTCTCTTTCGACCTGCTAAATTTCACTATGACATTGCGTCTTATGCCAACTGCCTCTTGTGTTGGCTTTAACTAGTGGGAAATTGTCTGTCAGGATGTGTTATGTGCGGTGATGTTACATTGTTATCTTTGGAGCTAATGTTAGGATGGTCCCTTTGAAGTGTCTACCATTTTAAAAAGTCAGCAGAGATGAAGCTGAATCTCAGGCCAGCAGACTGTCAGCGATTACAGTAGCGCTCATCTCTACTACTTTGCTGGAGTTGTCAAGGTGTCACTGAGATATGGTTTTAACTGCCCTGATAGTCCATGTTATGTATTTATTCAACACATTCCCAACTTGTGAAATATGGCGGCTTGGTCAGTAGCATCGTTTGGCTTGTTGTTCATTCTGTGCTACTGTAGAAACATACATCCACTAAACATGACCCATAGCGTCTGTAGATAAAAACAGGTCATTCTAAGGTGAAAAACACAACAATCCTTATTTTCAGGTGATTAATGAAAACCTACCTATGATTATTATTTTCCATTTGTGCCAATAGGTCCTCCTAAACTGCACTTTTAAACACCCACAGTTTGGTGAGGTTAATGCACAGAAACTACAGACAAATAGGTATGTTACTTAATGTAAGTTATGGAATGTAACACAAACAGCGGTCTCCTGAGAAACAAATAGACAATTCCTATTTTCAGGGGATTAACATACAAACATACCTATGAATATTATACTCAATTTCTGCCACTAATTCCTCCTATATCTTACACGCTGGACCTTTAATAGAGCAATACTTGCTGTGTGTGTGTTAAACAAACCCAGTCAGTCTCAACTATGTAATCCCCAGCGTCAACTGATCATCAGGTCTGTGTGCAACAGGAAAATACCTTAAAAGATGATGTGATGTAAGTCAGTCTGTTCATTTGTGTCCCTCTTATCTATGTGAGCATGGCAACCAAATATTTAAGTCTAATAACAGTCTTCATATCTGTCTCATCACGGCGTAACATAAATTAACCGGCAAGCTAGGGACTTGAATTATTTAAGAATTACAAACACATTTTTAATTATTTATTTTACAAAGGCTGGTAACAATAATGCTTCAGACTGCGTAAGTTTGACACTGTTGTTCCTACATAAATTATATATTTATAATATTGTTGTAGCTATAATATAAGCTACTGTGTTTCTTGTCTTTACCTTCTTAACTTTTTTTTTGTTTTCCTTATTAATTACTGTACATAATAATCATACATTGCCACCAGTAGGGTTAGGTCTACCTAGGAATTTTCATAAATAAATAATAAATAGGGTGAAGATCCCAAACCAGCTCAGGCATTAATGAGTCTGATGGAGGTAGGCACAAAGCTTGACATGGCCCGCTTAGTCTTAAATAGAGGTGACCTGTATCTGCGGCCTGAAGGTAAGTGGCTGTATTGGGTGTGTACTGTGTGTGTGGAGTCCGAGGCTATTTGCAGTCCTTTTCCTCCATTTTAACCCGTCTGCTTTAGATGCTGCGTAGTGGTTCCAGGTCCAGAACAATCATTTTGCTGCTCATTCTGATGATCTTGTTTAGAGGGTTGAGATAAATGTTACTCAGAGCACCAAACCAGGCTGTTATGTTGAAGGTGATGATGGATTTGATGAAGCACCTATAGTGCTAATCATTTGTTTCTTTGGTTTTTTTGTGCGCTTGTTGTATAAAACAATAAAAAGGAGAGTACACTTTCTCTGCTATGATGGAGAAAAAGTGAAAATAAATGTTTAAATGCTTTTACTATACATAAAAAAACAATAAACTAAAAGAAGAAACATCAAAACAGCAAAGAAAACGTTGACAAACATAGGTGCTACCTATGTTTCTACCCCACAAAGCTTACTCTAGTTTTCTCATTGCAGTTACTAAGTAACAATGATACAGAATCAGTTTTGGCCCCACAGAAAGAAATGTACAGTATGTATCATTCCTGTAAAAGAGATGCCGATTTTCTTAGTTTCATCCAGCATAACACTTTATTTCTCTTCTTGGTAAGGGGTTAAGCCTGAGCTGGGTCTAAACTGTTGTATCACTATCAGTCACTTTAGCAGCCCGGAATCACTTGACACCATTTTTGATGATAGGCTTAAAAACGAGGGAATATAGTACGAAGAGAGTAATCTTTGAGTATACATAATTTTGTCTCTTTTGTAGTGTGAAAGCAATACTTAGTTAAAAGCCCAGATGGAATTACTATGGAACAGGGACAAAGAGTGATGTGGGAGTGAGGACCCCAGTGATTAGCCATCTTTTTCACTGCCTGATAGTCCTCTTAATGCAGACATTCAGGTCACAATCCAACATCCATCTCTTACTCTAACTCACTCTCTCGCTCTCTTTTTCTAATGATGTGATACTATCAATAATGTTAATAAAAGAATGCTTGTGGAGATGGAAAGAGAGTGAGAGAGAGAGATAGAAAGACGGACAAACAAAAGACAAACAAACAAAAAGAAAAGATGTGTGAAGGGTGAATGAGAGCGAGTTGCCATTCATTAATGAATGCGTCTGGCAAGCGAATGTGTGTGAGTAACCTGCTTTGGCAGTTGTGTATGTAATTATGGTCATGCCAATGAATCAACATTTGGGTTTGAATTTAGGAGCCATAGCAATGGAAGATAAATAAAAAGAGATGTTGTCTGTTGTAGACATACAGAGACACAGAGAGAGGATGCCGAGGGGCGCTGACATCAGTGATACATATGCTATCTAATCAACCGACTGATGAAGTAAGGAGAGTGGCTTAGAGTAACAGGGTCAGGACAGAGAATGTAATTGTTGATTTCATCAGCTAGCTGGACGTCCGCTGACCTGGGTTAACTACCTGGTTTGCTGCACAGACAAAAAGATGCAGATTTACACGACAACCTCAAGCAGTCATGAAGTCCTCAAGAAGGCCAAAGTGCAAAACATATGTCATGCATTCCAATGTGATGAATGTCAATAAGCATGACGTGATTTCCCATACCTAAACAATGAGTCACACACTTGGTCACTACATTAGTCACATTTTTGACACAGGATTAGGGACGCACTATATTGTTTCATGCAATTTTTTTGACAGATCTTACGACTAATATGCACTAACAATTATCATTCTTTTCATTAAAATCATGATGTAAAATTTGTTGGGGTCTGTACCAAACAAACATGTTTTCTTACTCATGGAGAACAAGATTTGTAGGCCAGGGCCTGTCTGCAGTTCTTCATTATAATGCTGTTTTGTCACACATTTTAACTTTATCAGAAAATTGCAGCTTCTGCAATTTGGGTATTGCACTTGGCCATATTGCTTGGTTTACCAAATAATAATACTTTGGAATGTGAGAAATCACTAATTCCTGAACAACAGATTAGCTACTGCCCTAAGGTGCAACACAGGCCATTCACAGTTACAAAGCACTTTAACAAATGTGTGAGTGTGAATGCAAAATGGAAACAATCAAAGAAAGCAAGACAAATAAACAGAAATAATATCAATGACGGCAATTCACACAAAGCATTACAAAACCAATACTGTTGGTTCCCTCAGTAAACATGCTGCATAAAATTTAAGTATTTAGTATTAGTAAGACATGTAGTTTTCATATTATCAACACATACAATGTCTACAATAAAAACATGGGTACATCTGAATGATAACCATTTTTGTATTTATTCCTGTGTTTATTTCTATTAATCATAATGATGTAGTCTTTTTAGTAGTCTGACTTGTTTCCAGTTGGTTTCACAGTGGTTTCATTTAGATCAGAGAGAAGACAGTGAAGTAAATGTATTAATACAGTATTTGCATTTACACGATCAGTTAAAAAAATCTGTATACCCAATACTGGTTCTCATGACTTCACTGACTAATCTATAGTAGCTTTCAGGGCCATGGACGGCACCAAGAGTCATCTCTCTTTAGAAAACCAGTGTTGTGTGCAGAGCTGTCCATGGTGCTGAAATAATGTGGTTGTCATGTTGTTAAAATGATTGCACTCAGATGGAGATTCATTTAAATCGTGAAATTATAATTAAAATCAAAGTTCAAATCTTGTATAAGCATTTTGGGGTAGTGCTTGACCTTGCCATGTTGCACTTGATCCTTCTGCAAACGTGATGCAAGTCTGATTTTGTAAATGAAAATCCAATTTAAAGCCCGCTTTTGGCAATTTTTTTGAAAAACTCCTCATGTATTAAAGCCTTTGAGTATGCAAGTAGGTATGTAGGTCTTGTTGGCCTTGTTCCGTAGAATGTACTCATGCCCCTTTGTTAGGATGGTTTGCTGGTGTCCCTTTGATCCAAATGTCAATGTAACCCAAAGGTTCTTATTATATAATGCTGTTTTCTATGTTTCCCAAGGTGGGTAAGTCTATATGTGTGTGTGTGGAAGGAGGGTATCTGAAATATGAGATGAGTTCTAGGATATTTGTGATTATGTGCTCTTGTTTGTGTGTGAGAGTGTGACTCCAACACAGGTGAACTTTAGTACACCAAGTAAAGTTGCAGGAGGACATGAGAATGTCAGGCAATAGGAAGAAAGGGCAAATTAGTGGCTATTATTGTAGGTGCTATGCCAGACCATGAGTGCACTGGTCTTGAGTGTGTCCGTGTGTGTACATACCTGCAGACAGAACACTGCCTTTGAGGCTGCAGGGCAGTGAACATGACGATGACAGAGTAGTTCCTGGGTGGGGCCTTGACGAAGCGACGAAACTTGTCCCCGTTCATCCGGACGACCGAACGCCGAGAGGACCACTCCATCATCTGGTCAACCTTCTCTGACAGCAGATTCTGAACACACAGACAAGGAAAAGGGCAGACAGGACAATGCATCCCATTACGATTTTCAGATTCAAACAGAAAGATCATTCCAACAAGGCTAAGGACACAGCAGTTTATAAATAAAGGCTTTGTGTAAGTACTGTACCTGAGTATTTCCATTGTATGCTATTTTATACTTATTATACTGTATTTCACATTGTACTTTTTACAGATGAAGTTACTACTTACTTTTCAGATTGAGATTTTACATATAATCATCTTATAAAATATGACACATTGTCAGATTACCATTTAACAGTACGTAAAATTATTTTGCAGCTTGAAAATAATAAAAAATACCAATCGATGTTTGAATACATCAATAATAAAAAATAACGGTAAGGATAATCAAAATGATAAATGTAACACGATTAATGGTGGCATTTTGTGTAACGAGTACTTTTCATTTTGATACTTTAAGTAGATTTTGCAAGTAACATTTTGAATACATGATGATCAGTGTTGGGAAGGTGTTGGGCAATTAAATTACAGCATATCAAAGTAATTAGTTACTAAGGAAAGTAACTTTTGTGTACTTTAAAATGTCTGCTTTAATTCTCTTATAAATGCACACAGCTGTTGAGAGTTGCTGTGGAACAAGACTAACTTATCTAGTTATTAATCCTCTTAATCCTAACCAAGATTTGCTACAGTAGTTAGTTAATAAATAATTGTATTTGATGAATGGACAGAACTGTCTTTGGCCACCGTAAGGTCCTGTGACGTTAGATCATTGACTGGAAAATCATTGGGATATGCTTGGATGTGTCCACTATTTTCAAGTAGGAGAAAAGTAATGAGTAACAAGCCTGACATAAAAATGTCAGTAATTGTAATTGCATTATTTCATTTGAAAGCATTACTAGTTACTGCCGAAAGTAGTGGAATTACAGTAACATGTTACTGAATAGTGCATTACTATACACTGCTTGTAATGGAGTATTTTCATAATACCACTTCCACATCACTGCTTCCGCCATAAGGGGGAAAGCATTTATAGTCACTTTTTAAGTTATTTTTTGGCCTTTTATTGCCTTTATTGGATAGTGACAGCTGAAGATAGACAGGAAAGGAGGCCAGAGAGAGAGGGGATGACACACAGCAAAGGGCCGCAGGTCGGAGTCAAACCTGGGCCGCTGCAGCAACCTGGTACATGGGTCACCAGCTCTACTGACTGAGCTAACCGGGCACCCAAGTGACAGTAAACTTTGCAAAGACATCCTGGTTCACCCCTATAAAATGACCCATTTGTACAATCCCCTGATATCAGCCAGCTTCCCTACAGAATATATTAAAATCCTTGACTCTTCTTGCCTGAAAAACAAGTCAGTCTTTCTATGACATTCCAACTATTCAATGACCAACCAAGAGCCTTACAGCATACCGGCTTTCTAAATCTAATGCTGATACAGAACAAGGTGTTGGTGGACGCCACTTCCTAAATCTAAATTTTAATAGTTTTGACTCCTGGCCTGTTTTGACTAATGGGATGCAAACAAAGAATCTGGAATACAGCAAACCTAACCATTATTTACAGAAAAGGAGCCCTGACTTGGCAGTCTAGGTGTGTGTGCGTGCACAGAAAAGCCAGAGTTGTTGGTTGTTTGTGTGTGAATTGTAGGAGTCTACTGTTGATTAAATCCGGTCCGGCTTAGCTAAAAGGTCACAACAGAGTCAGCGTCAGAACAGATCGCTAAAGGTAAACAACACACAGCATAAATGTGTACCCAAACACACCAACTAGTGCCTCTGCAAGGTTCCTAAAGCTGAGATGCTTATAATAGAAAACTCATATGGTGAGGTACGGTAATGATACAGTCTGGCTGGGCGTGTGTGTGTGTGTGTGTGTGTGTGTGTGTGTGTGTGTGTGTGTGTGTAGGCATGAGTCTCCTTGCACTGTGTGTGTGTGTGTGTGTGTGTGTGTGTGTGTGTGTGTGTGGCTGTAAATCTACTGTAAGACTGTGTCAGTTCTCAGCAGGACACTGCTTAGTTCCTACCAAACTTGAGCTCTGAACTGATGAGTGATGAAATACTGAGACTGCTGATGAAAGACTTGTTTTCCAACCTCTGCTGATCAAACTCTACAGCGAAAAAATCTGTACAAGAAGCACATTTCAATTTACAACATAAAACTGTTTTTTTTTTTTGTGAAGTGCACTGCACCAAATCTCTACTGAGGGTTTGTCATGCATTTTTCATTAAAATACTTTGTCCTCTCTGCATCTTTAACACATACAGAAACACTGATAAATGTTTGTTTTAAACTTTTCTCAAGCAACAACAACCTGACTGTCAATGTGATAACACAAAAAGGATCATCACCCTGGTTGACAGAGACTGAATGAAGCAGGCATATCCCCTGTGTTCAGTATACACATATGACAATGTATTAGATTAGAAGCATTCATAGTGATGATGTTAGCTAATAGTAAATGAATGAGTCTGTCGAAACTTATTATCGGCACATGTCCTGCAAGTTTTGAAATGTGCTTCTTCAGGATTTCTACTATTGAATTACAAAATGCTACACTTAACACTTTAAAAAAGGCTTGATGCAGAGCTTGCTCTATTATACTGGACAAGGGACAAACATAGTTGTGCCCATTTTATTGTTTACTTCTACATGTATTATTAAAATGTATAGCCAACTGAGCCAGTGTAGTTTGCTGGCTTTTCTCAACTAGCTGCTTTATACTTCTCGCTCTCAGTTGCCAGCCAACATAAGCATGCATGTCTTGTTTGGGCAGAGGGGCTTTTGATGCTTTTGATGCTAAGGTGTTGGAGAATTTTTGTAGTTGCACTCTGCAGTCAATTTACACCAGTTATATGAGAGTGGGAGCATTATAGGCCAATCCACGTACAGTAAAGTCTCTCTCCCCTCAGTTCACTGGATGAAGTAGACAGTAGCTAAATAATTAAGCACTGCGCCTTACTCCTACTGCTAATCAGACACAAAAACTCTCTCCCCCTCTCGCTCCCTCACACTCTCACACACACACGCACACACACAGTATATATACATATTAGGTCATCGGCTTGGCTGCAGACACAGAGAAGAGCTGTTAACTAAATCTCTCAAGTAAACTGCCAGGAGACAAGATCTACAAAGACAAACAAAAAGGAAAAGTGGAGGATAAAGAAAAGAGTGACAAAGAGAGAGAGAGAAAATCAGACAGTAGCATGGCATGTGCCTCAGTTGTAACACACACTCCCTGCACTAATGGGCCACATATAATGAGGGAGGAGATTCACTAAGAAACAGCACAGAAGAGTACAACACACAAACACATACACATGGGCGTGCAAGTCCAGAAGAGGTACAAGGTGCTATTTGTACAGCTTTGCTTTCGTTGTCTTTAATTTATCTACCAAGTTTTTACCCGTGTGCATTCGGCCCCAAAAGGAGAGCTGTCAGTCCTGGATGCCAATCATACTGGCAGTAATGATGCACTGCCTTACTCATGTTCCGCACGCAAACACACACGCGCACACACACACACACACACACACACACACACACACACACACACACACAAACAACAGTGCTGAAAACAGACAGAAGTACTGCTTTTGAGGAACCTGTAAGAGATGATAAAGGTGCTGAAAAACAGGAGAGCAGGGCAGCTGGAAAGAGAGAATATTTGCCATTAGATAGTGTTGTTTTGAAGTATAGGCTGTTGTTTGAGGAGTCTTAAAATGGACAGTCCTACCAAGAAACAGAACTAGTCACTAGACACACAATCAGCCATCTAAGTTTGGGATTTAAATCTTGCATTATATTATTTATATATTTTATGCTAAAACTGCATGAGGGTATGTATTTATGACCATATTCTGTAAGTGTAATAATGGTTCTACTGTAGAGTATGATTAGTGTCATTTTAACATTATTCAACAGAAGCTGTACTACCACTAATTGGGACTTGATAATGAGTGTGAGTAGTATTTTTTAGTCAAAACAAAAGCCATGAGATTCAGAGTAGTGAATATGGCATGAGTAGGTTGTTGCAATGGTGTCGTGGATGCTGCATAAATGTGTACAATATGCAGAATTAACCATTAACCAACAGGTAAACATGAAGACAGCGTTGCGTTTACCAGCAAGCGGCAAATTAACTCAGCAAACAGAAGAGGAGAAGAATTATTACTCAAATCTGACCCCATAAAACACAGTGAATTAGAGATAAAAGACCTGCCACTAATAATAATAATAGACTACCTCAAATAAAAGGCCTGGTTCACTCTTAAAGTTGTGGTAAATACAGCCACTATTTGAGAGTTCACAGTAATCATATTGTCTGTATTGATGCCTGTAAACTACAAAGTAGTTAAAAACTCTTCTAAGGAGCAATTCATGCACAGAGCTATTTAAATACCTTATGTTAGACCTTCAAGTGACTCCCACACATCAGTGTTATGGCTCCCTACTTTACCTGAACCCACACACACACACACACACAGACACACAGACACACAGACACACACACACACACACACACACACACACACACACACACACACACACACACACACACACACACAAACATACAATACATAAGCACTCCAAACAGCCTAGGACCATTAAAAACATTTATTTTCTACCTCAGTGAGCACAGAGGGCACTAAAATGAATCACATCTAGAGCGTGTGTATTTGAATGTGTGTGTGCTTGTGTGTGTGTGACTAAGATGCAGGAATGGTTTGCAGATATCCTGCCTTATCCATCGGACTTTTCTGTTAGTCACTCTATGAATGTCATAACCTCTCTCTCTCGCTCACATTATAGGTCATAGGGCAGGCAGCAGACTGTATCAGTAGCACTGTGGTCTAAATCTCTCTAGTTCCCCCATTTGCTCTCATTCTCATTGTCCATTTTTCTACTTAATCTTCAAGGGTCTTTTTCTTTTTTTCTCTATTTTTCTTTAGTCCTTCATTTTCTCTATTATCTTCCTTTTAGCAACGTCTACACA